AAGTGCAGAAATAGATTCTAAAGGGCTCTGGCGATAGTGTATAACACTCTGAATTACTGGGTTTTTGGATTTTGTCCATCGTCTGCTATTATAAAAAAAAAAAACTAGAGAACTCAGAATTTCGGAAACTGGAACTTACTGAGGTTAGCTCTTTCTAAGGGCGTGGGTGTCTTCCCTCTCACCTGAGGACGGAAATAGATCCAGCTTCCGAAACTTTGTATTCTCTAGTAATAAGAATATCGGAAGATGGAGAAAGTCCAGAATTCCAGTAACTATAAGGGCAGAAATGTAACAGCTACCCGAACCACAGCCTAACCAGTAGATCTGTTACTTCATCACGGACAGTAACCGTAGCGACTGGCTGCGGGCTGGATGTTTGAGGGGTCGGTGTTCGAGTCCCGGTAAAGTCAAGAATTTTCACTTCTCCATGTCGTCCAGACTGTCTGTGGAGTTCACACAACCTCCTATCCAAAGGATACCGGGGGTTCTTTCGCCGAGGACAATGCTGCCGGGGCGTGAAGCTGACCACTCACCTCCGATTAGTGCGAGGTCAAGAAAATGTGGATCTATACATCCACTCCCCTATACGCCTTCATGGTGTAGTGCTGAATTAGTTAAGAACAGGAACATATTTACCTTTGATCAAGTCAAGGAGGAAGAGGTGGGCAGGTCATGCAGCACGAATGGGGGAGACGAGGAATGCGTACAGAATATTGGTGGGAAAGCCCGAAGGAAAAAGACCACAGGGAAGACCAAGACGTAGGTGAATGGACAATATTAGAATGGATCTTAGAGAGATAGGATGGGATGGTATGAAATGGATAGATCTGGCTCAGGATAGGGACCAGTGGAGGGCTCTTGTGAACACGGTAATGAACCTTCGGGTTCCATAAAATGCTGGGAAATTCTTGAGTAGCTGCAGAATTGGCGGCTCCTCAAGAAGAGCTCAGCTCCATGAGTAAGTAAGTAATTAAGAAGCCCCTGTAGGGAACATTATTTATGAGCGTCCTGGGTATGGGCACCGGTTGGGAGGAGAAGTGGAAAAACTCAGGGCTCTGCCCCTTCCCCTGGATTTTGAGGGGAAAATCGCAAACGGGAAAAGAAAGGAACACACCACATACGAATAAGCAAATGTAAATTATTTTTAAAAAATGTGTTCTTCTATCCTGAATACACTAGAGCAATCAGTGAAAACATGCTTAAATGGCTGAAACTATGTTTGTGAGAACATTTCTGTCTGCGCCCTTCTTCCTGGAAATCTGGTTTCCTCTTCTAAGAAATACTGAAGGCGTCTGCCTCGTAGCGTCTTTCTTCCCACCGCGGTGGCCCGGGTTCGATCCCGGGTCTGGTCAAGTGGGATTTGTGGTGGACAAAGTGGCGCTGGGGCAGGTTTTCTCCGAGTACTTCGGTTTCCCCTGCCAATCTTCATTCCACCAATTGCTCCACAATCACCCTCACCTATCATCTGGGGCTCGTTCAATAGGCCAGAAGTGGCCGCAGTACAAGGGACTTAGTCCCACCCCACTAGCAATAAAAAGAAATGAACAGAACCGCTTGGAATCTACTTAATGATCTTGCTAGTATAGCCATAAGGACTTGCATGGATTATTTACAGTATTAAGAATATTAAGAATAGTGGGTCGTAGCACTCTGAGCAATCGGTGGAATTTGGAACTCTTCTGCTCCATGAAATTTTGATAGCCGCAAGAGTATCCCTGGAGATGGAGGCCGGAGATTCCTTTGAAACATTTGTACTTATCTAACCGTATTACATGGTGCCACATTCTCCAAGACAGTAATTTTTATAATGGCCTTAATGAGAACGTGAAGCCTCAAAAAGAAGTGGACCAGAAAAACATATGGCGAGAAACAACTTTGTTAAATTATAACCTCTTGGGAAGCCATTATACTTCTTTAAACTCAAAATAAAACATATTATTATTCTGTTTATAGATAATTGGGACTTTATTAGCACTAATCCAGATCACTTGCTACATTAGCGCAAGGTTTCTATAGTTGCGCCTCTACAGTAGAGTTCTCGCGGGAGCAGCAGCTGTCTTTCTGCAGTCTCAATCATCTGTGTGGTTCGCTGGCTTTGCTAGTATGCTAAAATAGTGCTTCTCTAGTGCGGCAGCACGTTCTGTATGGGTGCTGCCATCTGCTGTCTCATATCCGTCATATTTGGCTGGCCGTCTGTACAGAGTACTAACTATTACCGCTAGATGGAACATAGATTTTGCCCGTCCTTCGCTCCCACAGGTGAAATGTGTTGAAACATATTTAAGTTCAGGAAACTGGCAAGCCGAAGTTTAGAATCGTACTTCACAGGATCATTTCTGTAGTACGTATTCTCACACTTGACTATGAACAGTTGAGTAGATTACTACCACGATGACGAGTGATAGGAACTTTTCCTGAGCGTGAGGCAGATTGCGAGGTGCCGCAAGGTGCTTCGCAGTCATCGATGATCGTTCAGATTCGAGTAATCGAATCCGAGGGAAGAGTTACGTATTCTCACACTTGATTATGAACAGTTGAGTAGATTACTACCACGATGACGAGTGATAGGAACTTTTCCTGAGCGTGTGGCAGATTGCGAGGTGCCGCAAGGTGCTTCGCAGTCATCGTTGATCGTTCAGATTCGAGTAATCGAATCCGAGGGAAGAGTTCGGTTCTGAGTGGTATTCAAACATTTTTATCGCTGCAAATTTTGTTTTTTATTTATTTTCAGTTCGAAGGAACTGATATAATCTATTCAACCTACTGATCGGAGTTCCGAGTTTTGACAAAGACAAGAATTTTTCCGAAACTTCGGTTAGCATCACATATACACGGTGCCAAATTCCAGAAAACTGCTTTGTTCATAGTCACCGGCGTGAAAGTCTCAAATCTTAGAAAGAATTTTTATTATTCACTTCGTTTAGTGTGGCTACTCTCCTCCTGACAGGTATTAATTAATAATCAGAATCGAGGTCAAGAAAACGTGGATATATATGCATGCACTTTTCCATTCTCTTTCATGGTCGAATGCTTAATTATTTTAAGCACAGCGACAATTTTCTTTCTTTTCTTTGAAGTACGTGTGGTACATTGCAGTTGGGTTATTCCATGTGTAGTCATAGAGATAGGTCGCTCGACTATTTAAAAAAATATTTCGTACACTTATTTCTACATATTTTCATACTTCAAAAATATTACAAAGTTTAATCCGCTCGGTTTTCCCGGTACAGCCGTTTTTATAATGCGAAAATAACACGTACGCCTGTACGTACTGCTCAGAACGACAAAAGATAAATCTCTCGTCTTTT